ATTACTGTATTACTATTACTATTACTATTATTTTAGTTATGTAGGGGTTATTTAGGTATTAAAAATGTGTTGACATAACATTAATGCATTATGTAATTGTTCCATTTAAGGCAAAGGTTGTACTTCCCAATTGATATTATTTGGTATTTCCATTAGTTCACAATTAATTTAAACACCGTTAATTCTTTGGTACTTTCATTTCAACCTGATTTATTCATCTTTTCATTTTTTTTCTTTTGCCATCAATTGTCGACATGCTACCTACTAGGCGTCTTTGGATAAATTCGCTTGATCGTTCCGCATGTTATTAACCCTATGTTCATGCCTTATTATCCGAATGTTGTTATCTCTATTTTAGCTTTCGTATTTCCTTGTCGTTCTTCTCCCCCCTAGCTCACTTCTTTCGTTGCCGCACCTGAGATTTTAGTTCATTTACGCGGTTTGCAACTTGATTTTCTCGAATAAAAAACAGGTATTTTTGTAGCTCCTTGTTTTGTGCATAGTTCATCCATTCACACAACTGTTACCGATCACAAAAGCTGCATACATGGCATGGGGACCTAGGGTTTTAGTGGGTGTGAATGATCACTTCTAGCAATACTTTTAATTGGATTTTCTGATTGCTCAGGTCTCGAATTTTGGTAAGTTCAACATATTAAGATTTTAGTAGATATACCTAAAATCTTAATGTAGGTTGCAAACTTAGTGTGATATGAAACATTTTTGAGTGGGGAGATTTGGCTAAATAGAAATAACCAAATTCTTGATTGTCAAAACAGGACTTAAGTTTAAAACTTCCCTAACTAGGAGTTATTATTTGTACTTGGACAAAAATACTCATGAAGCTTGACAAAAAATACTGCCACCGACAGGTCATCGGACCGGCCGTCGCTGCAGCCTCAAAACTAACCGCCACTATAGATTTCGCAACCGCAGCTATAGATTTTGCCGCTGCCGCTGCAAATCTGGACTTGTTTATGTTGCTCGCTAAGTCGCTATTGCTCAATTATTTTGTTTTTAGTTGTGCTTGGGATGTGGATGAGATTTTACGTGGTTAAAACCTCATGTTGAAAACATCTCATGATGGTTATTGCATATGCAAAGGTTCAACATTTCGATTTTGGACACAAATCCGAAACTATAATTTAATACACAACTATTCTTCTTTAAGTTTACGCATACATATTATTTTACCTTCACAAACGAGTATGGGTAAATACAATATATCTTTATTTATTATTTAACTTCTTCAATTCAAACCTAAAAAGAAGTCAAGCGATGCAGAGATTCAAAACAAATGTTTGTAAAAAAAACAAATCTATATTATATCTCAAATGAGGTTCACTTGCTTCAGTCGTATTAAATGTGTATATTTATTTACAAAAATCTTTGAAAAAAATTCTAAACACATGTGTATGCTACGATATTGGTATTGGGCATTAATCTGTCGTGCAACACACATCAGAAAAACTATTTAATATATGTGAAATAATTTAATTGTGCAGATGGTGTAATATCTATTAATGGATGTATTTGTTTGTGCCTCCTGGTTCCTTGGTGTTTTTACTGGTAAGTTTCACTTGTGTTTTCCTAGTATGTTATAATTCCATTGATTGATCTAGTACTTAGTTTTTTTGTCACGTGTAACCCTTGTTTTCTTTAATTTCTTTAATTTCTTTGTTCGCATGATGCGGTTATTTTTTTTTATTTGATTGTAACTTTCTGGTCTGGTATGATCCAGTCAGGTGGATGTCTGGTATATGTGTATTATACAACTATCGAAGTGCGATCTGACCTATCTCAGTTTAGTCTAATCTGATATATTTAAATTGTTCTAGTATGAGGTTAAAATCAATTCAAGTAAAAACACTTTTCTAAGTATATAGATTTCATTTGTAATATAAATATATTAGTTATAGATCATCTACTTGATGGATCAGCTAACATTTTTTTTTCAAGTTAGTTAAATCTAATCCATACTAACATCGTTTGTCAGCGAATTCTGCTACATTTAGTCAAGCTTGTCCATTTCAAGATGATTATTTTTAAAACATCATTTTTTATTTGGTCTAGTTGTCTAAGTCTGACTTAATTTGCTACATGTATCCAACTCATTTTTAACATATTTTAGTTAGTTTAGTTTGAAGAATGACGTTACCTACCAAAATCACATTTTTTAATTCATTTGTTTCATTGTTAAGCTTACGAGTTCAAAGCATGTACAATTAAGGATGTTACATTATGCGTGTTATAATAATCTAATTAAGTTCCTAAGTGTAACATAGTTGCCAACCTAATTATCTTACATTCTTACTTGGCTTGTTACTCAATACCTCATCGATTCCTGGTCGGAGTTCATCACGAGTCTATGCCACCCAGCTAAATCACTCCAGTCATGCTCTCTAAAGTCGAGTAAGGTCAAGTCACTGCTCTAAGATCTATCTATGAGTTTGTGCCAACCCGTTCATGTCATTCACTGTTGTTCCGGGTGAAGTCCTCTAGTCTATTCCCAAGAATGACTTTATTATGATAAACATGCCTTACGAATTCGTGCTACTCCAACACACTATCTAGAGTAGTGCGGGATCACAATCCTCACGCCCCTTTTAGAGACATCACATCACAATAGCAATACTTCTATAAATTTCTAGTCAACTCCATGGCCTACCCGGGTGATCATCTTTAGCAAGCAACATGGCTCAATTAATGTTCATCTATATATTCTCAGCTCGGTACAACCAGCGTACCAAGACATGTGCGCGCGTCACACCTATTAAGTCATTTATATGATCTCTAACATGCTTTAATTTCATCTACAAGATCTCTTAACATCTTCAAGCAAATTTCATTCATTTTCAAGAGTACTAGATAATACTAAGGATATTTTTACTTGGACAGTAATTTTCTGGTTTGGTCTGGTCTGAGCTGGTCTGGTCTAGTCTTGTAATGTCTGGTCTCTTTGTATTTTTATAACTATCCAAGTCTAGGGGTGCAAACGAGCCGAGCCGAGCCGAGCCCGAGTTTATGTAGGCTCGAGCTCGAATTATATTGTATTGGCTCGAGCTCGAGCTCGGTTCGAACGAGCTTAAAAAATCCGGGCTCGAGCTCGGCTCACAAATATTGATTTGGCCCGATTTGGCTCGACTCGGCTCGGTTCGGCTAGATACTTTTGGTTCGTTCAAAAGTTACAAGTTCGATTAGCTCGAAAGTTCATGTTCGAACTCGAGCTCAAGTATGAAACAATCTTTAAATATTTGTGCTTAACATCTGCAAATTGCAATTTACATGCCCAACAACTAAACCTTACGGGAAAATAAACAAAATATAATTCTAACTTCAAGTCTCTACCCAATTGTACTTCTAAGTTCTAATATAAATCAAAAGTGGTCAACTCATTAAGAAATAGTGGATGAAACTTTGATTATTTTTGTTAAATTACTTTATAATTAATAATATCTGCCAGGTCCTCATATACATTTATGAATCAGTATTATATATATATATTAACTTATATAAAAATAATTTATATTATACTTCGTATATTACATATACTAATATATACTCCGTATTATATATTAATCTGTATAGTATATTAATATATTACATATATTAATTAAATACACGCACATATAACTAGGCTCGCGAGCCGGCTCGCGAGCTAGCGAGCCTAAAATCAGTAGGCTCGTTTATGGCTCGACTGCTTAACGAGCCGGCTCAAGCTCGGCTCGGGCTCGAGTTTGACCGATCTCGATCTGAGCTTTGACCGAGCGGCTCACGAGCGGCTCGGCTCATTTGCACCCCTATCCAAGTCTGGTCTGGTCTGTTCTGGTCTGGTCTAGGACATATTACAGTCCAAGTAAAAAATATCTTTAATAGTTCAGAAAACACTTTACATTATTCTAAAACATCTAATTTCACTTTAGATTCTTATTGAACCTACCAATTATAAGTATATATACAAATTTCCAATCCACTCAGCTCGGATTCACTACTATTATTAAGGTGAACAAGCTTTCATCACCCATGAGTCAAATTTGATCAACACTATTTTCCCCTATTAATGGTAATGCTCGTTTTGAGTACATTTATAATTAAAGTGACACTATTTTGAATATTGGAGTACCGTTGGCACGGTACTCATGAATATTGGAGTATTGTTGGCACAATACTCAAGTAGCACAATAGAAGACCTGTACAACACGAAAAGATATTGCAAACTTTGCCCTAACAAAAGAAAAGCATCCAAGTGACAAATTAACTAAGTTGGTGCAAAAGCATCCGCTTGATTTACTAAGTGTTTGATATTGCTTCTATTTAAAAAATTAATCTTTTAAATTGAATATAAAGACAACGCTTTATTGAGGTTCATTCATCGCGGTTCGAGGGCAGAAGTCTTATCGAGCCTGAAGTCTGGCCCTTCATTCTACATTGAGAGAATACAAAAGAACTATAGAGCGAAATTAAGCTATTGAATGTGAATTGCCAACCATTTATATTGAAATAAATGCATGTATGTAATAGATGGTGGTGACGAGGCGAGACATGAGTGTTTTAAATGCACCTCACATAATTTCTTTGCTTTCCCGCCAACAATAAAATTGGATGATGTTTGACAAAAAATGTTTTTTGAAAAGTAAAAGTTGACACTTTTTAGTAAAAAAGTGTTTTGTGCCAATTCTTTTTAAAACTAGTTTAAGGTCTCCTGCACATGCCTTAAGCCTGTAATTAGTTTTTATGTATTTAATTTAAATAGAATGTCAATTAATAACATCTATTTCAATTTTTTAAGTCATGAATTGATTTTTTTTTTTTTTTTGAAAACAGTCCTTTATTATTACTCCAAATCCCCGAGAACTTTTATCTTTTACATATACTTCGTACTTCCTATATATTGTTACTAGCGGCTCAGCGTTGTCCACGGGTACATGAACACCGAACCATCAATCTAGCCAGCCAGCCAGCCAAATCCCGTAAACCCCCAGCAAGAAATTTGGGTTGTAATTGACCAAAATATGGATCCGGGTCATCCTCTCCGCACACTTTCAGTCCACAACGTTCCTCTTTGTCCCTCTCATCTCTCTTCACAGCATGTGACGCTTTCTAAAACAATTGCGACAATCAAATCCCAAAATTTTCGACTTTCCATTTTTCTGCACCACCTAATTTGGCAGTCTTCTTTCATTTTGATCCCCAACCCTCCTTCGGCCATCGCTTTCTTTCTCGGCTCCATTTCTGTTTCCCGGAGTTGAACTTGCAACAGTGTGCCTGTGTAATATATTCAGGCGGGCTGCAATTTGAGGATTTCTGGACTGCTGGAGTTCTGGGTTAAGTTCATTATAGCTGTGCAGCTGATTTTTTGGTTGTTTTTGTTCGAGGCTGCGCTGTTAAGTTGATGTGACTGTGGAGAGATCTGTTGGAGGGGACGAAGTGGCAGATTGAGTTGTCCGGGGTTTGGATCCGATAGCAGTGGAAACAGCGCCACTAGATGGCGCTGTTCAGGCGTTTCTTTTACCGAAAGCCGCCTGATCGGCTCCTCGAAATATCTGAACGGGTCTACGGTGTGCCTACTTTTTCCTTCTTTTTACATGTTTCTCATTTCCTGCCAGGAATTTTCAGTTCCTGTGTTGAGTGTATGCCTGTTTGGGGGACTTCGGATTTTGTACAGTCTCATTTTTGAGGTGCCACTTTTGCTTGACTTTACTGCAAATTCAGCTCAAGCTTGCGCATTTTTGTTAAGACGAGTTGTGGATTTACTGGCTGTTGATTGGGTCAACCTACATTTCGCAGTACTTCACTAATGCTTTATTAAAAGAGTGGATGTTATAGTTGGAAGTGCTTCTCTTTATTATCTAGTTCATGTGCTCATTTTTCTTAGCTCAATAGGAATCAACTTAAAGCTAGGATATTTGTTGTTATCCAAACTTGTGCAGGCTGTGTGTGTGTGTGTGGGGGGGGGGGGGGCTATTAAAATGCCACTAAAAGCACATTCATTGAAATGGTGGTTTTTTGCGATGGGAATTTATTCTTTGTTGGTTATGCGCAGTGTTCGATTGCTGCTTCTCCACTGATGTACTGGATGAAGACGAGTATAAGTCTTACATGGGCGGAATTGTAGTTCAGCTACAAGAGCACTACCCGGAAGCTTCTTTCATGGTTTTTAACTTCAGAGAAGGGGATAAGAGAAGTCAAATATCTGACATCTTATCGCAATATGATATGACTGTCATGGATTATCCTCGGCAGTATGAAGGGTGTCCTCTATTACCATTAGAAATGATCCACCACTTCCTTAGGTCTAGTGAGAGTTGGTTATCACTTGAAGGCCAACAAAATGTTCTGTTGATGCACTGTGAGAGAGGAGGATGGCCTGTGCTGGCCTTCATGCTTGCAGGCCTCCTTTTGTACAGAAAGCAGTACAGTGGTGAGCAGAAGACACTTGAAATGGTATACAAACAAGCACCCAAGGAACTTCTTCATCTTTTATCTCCTTTGAATCCACAACCATCCCAGCTTAGATATCTTCAGTATATCTCTAGGAGAAACTTTGTAACTGATTGGCCACCATCAGATACACCTCTAGCTTTGGATTGTATCATACTAAGGGTCATCCCTGTATATGAGGTTGGAAGGGGTTGCCGACCTGTGGTCCGTGTTTATGGTCAGGATCCTTCTTCAACTACATCCAACAGGAGTTCCAAGCTCTTGTTTTCAACTTCAAGCACAAAAAAGCATTCCAGATTCTACCGACAGGTAATGCTAAAGTTTGATAATAATCAGATTGAAATACTTAAACTGACTCAGTTATGAAACTTTTAACTGTCCTCATACTGCAGGTAGAGTGCGAGCTAGTTAAAATAGATATACACTGCCGTGTCCAGGGGGACATTGTCCTTGAGTGCATACATCTGGATGATGATCTAGCAAGGGAAGTAATGGTGTTTAGAGTCATGTTTAACACAGCTTTTATCAGGTCAAATGTTTTGATGCTAACCCGTGAAGATGTTGATGTCCTGTGGGACGCGAAAGAGCAATTTTCTAGGGACTTTAGAGCAGAGGTTGGTTCTTTTTATTCATCTTCCTTTTTAATGTTTTATTCAAACCTGTAGGAGTTGAAGCATGCTCACTTTTGTATTAGGTACTCTTTTCGGATGTGGATGTTGATCCTCCTACTATACCAACCGAAGCATCAAATGAATATGGGAATGAGACAGAAAGTGCCTCACCTGAGGAGTTTTTTGAGGTTGGAGAAATATTCAGTAATCCGGTTGATGGGCAAGATGCAAGAGGCGATTCAGATAACCACACACTAGAAAGTAAGAGGGACCATGAGAGCCATGAGGTAGTCTGGAAGGAGGAATCTGACCATCACTCATTTCAAGATTGTGCATCTGAAGAAGGAAATCATCACAGACATGTTGTTGGGGTTGATCCTACTCATCCTCATGCAGATGTTAACATTATGAGGGAAGAGTATGTTGTGTCAGAGAATAAACAATACGGAGAAACTGCACTCTCACAGAAGAAGCTAGACAGGCATGTTTCAGAAAATAAGACTGGAGGTGATAGTAGTAATAAGCAAAAGTTTGACAAAGTACCTTTGACTGCTTCAAAGAAACAGCCATTATCAAACTCAAAACCTTCATCCGATGGCATTGGCAAAAATAAATCTAAACAACAAGAATCTCAGGGGAATATTTCAAGACTGGCAAAGCCAAATGTTGTATCCAGATGGATCCCTCCTAATAAAGGCTCTTATACCAATTCAATGCATGTATCGTACCCACCATCAAGGTATAACAGTGCTCCACCTGCATTTGTGCTTGCCAAGGATTCTCAGTCAAGTGGAAAATCAAAACCAGCATCTACTCGTAGCTCTACTGATGCGACTGCTTCCGCGAATGGTACTATTGATGCAGCTAGTCGTGCACCTTGCTCGTCATCAGCCGACATGTCAATGCCTGAAGTTGCACCAACTCCCCCTTCAACTTCTTCTCCAGTTGAGAGCCAAGACCTGCAAGAGTGTCCACTTCCTTATCCCTCACTCCCGGATCAGCATACCACCTTATTATCATCTCAAGTCCTGTGTACACATGTAGAGGGAGGTGGCGCCTCACTCCCTTCTCCTCCATCCCAACATTTACCTCTACAAGAAAGCCGGAGTTTAATCGTTTCTACTACTAACCCACCTCCTCCACCCCCTCCTCCACCACCTTTGCCCCTGTTTTCTACTGGCATTATTGCCTCTACTTCCGTATCACCAACTCCTACCCCACCTTGTGCTATTTCCAGTGCAGATAATGCTTATATGGTCTCACCCTCACTGCTTGCATCAACAACCTCAACCAGCTGGGGTAATGCAGCTTCTTATGTGGCACTGTCAAAGTCTATGTCAATTCCACCGTCACCCCCTCCTCCACCATTACTTTCATCATCTATGATAAAATCTGTTACCATTAGAGAATCCTCTCCACCCCCACCCCCACCTCCACCTCCACTGCCACCCCCCTCCTCCACCAGCACTTTCACCATCTGTGATACAATCTGCTACTGTCAGAGTATCCACTCCACCTTCACCTCCACCTCCACCTCCACCGCCACCTCCACCACCACCGCCACCTCCACCTCCACCTTCTTTGGTTAGACCTACTAGCTTATGTGTGCCAGTTCATGCAAATATGAAATCTGTTTTACAGGGTGTTCCACCTCCTCCACCTCCTCCACCTTTGCCTTCACGAAGTGGTCCATCACCCCCGCCTCCTTCCACACCATTTTCACATAGTGCTTCAATTCCACCTCCACCACCACCACCTCCTCCTCCCTTTCAACCTTCACGTAGTGTTCCATCTCAACCCCTCTGCCTGCCACTTTCACTAGGTACTCCACCCCCTCCTCCACCTCCACCTCCACCTCCCTTATCACAAAATGGTTTAACTTCGTCCTCCTTGCCTAGCTATGTTCCACCTCCACCTCCACCTCCACCTCCACCTCCCCCACCACCTTATTTGCGTAGTGCCGTATCTCCTTCACTAAGTGGAGCCCCACCTCCACCACCTCCACCTCCCCCATTATCTGGAGGTCCGCCACCACCCCCTCTTCCTCCTCCTAAGAGTGGGGCCTCACCCCCTCTCCCTCCAAGTCGTGCACCACCGCCACCTCCACCTCCTCCAAGTCGTGGAGTACCACCACCGCCTCCTCCTCCAAGTCGTGTAGGAGCACCGCCGCCACCACCTCCTCCAAGCCGTGTAGGAGCACCGCCACCCGCCACCTCCTCCTCCAAGTCATGGAGGAGCACCACCACCCGCCACCACCTCCAAGTCGTGGAGGAGCACCGCCACCCGCCTCCTCCTCCAACTCGTGGAGGCGCACCTCCACCACCTCCACTTGGTGGTCCACCACCCCCCCCCACCACCTCTAAGGGGTTGTACACCTGGTCCTTCACCACCACCTAGCACACCTGGCCCTCCACCACCACCAGGAGCTCCAAGACCTCCAAATGGTGCACCTCCTCCACTTGGGAGAGGCCTTCCCTCCGGAAGAGGACGTGGACTTTATGGAAAAGCACCTCCTGCTGGAGCTCCTCGAAGGTCTACATTGAAGCCACTGCATTGGAGCAAGGTAACCAGGGCAGTACAAGGAAGTTTGTGGGACGAATTACAGAGAAATGGAGAACCTCAGATGTATTGACCTACACCTAGAAATTCAGTATACAGATTTCTGTTGTAATCTTATGAACTCGTTGCTTGTTTTGTTCTCATGCAGAGCACCAGAGTTTGATTTTTTAGAACTTGAGACTCTTTTCTCTGCCATAGCCCCAAAGTCAGATAAAGGTGACAAATCTGGAGGGAGACGGAAATCTCTTGGATCTAAACCTGATAGGGTTCATCTGGTAATAAGATATGAAGTACAAAAAGTTCACTCATTTTTGAAGACCTAATATCCCATGAATGGGTGGTTCTTTTTCACTGTTTGTGCTTGTGGGATGTTATGGTTGATTAATGCCCAGTGATTTAGCATCTTTCTTTGACTACTATGCACTATTTTTCCTGACCCCCCAATGAGATTTTTTGAGTGGAACTAGTCATGAAACCGACCTCTTTTAAGCATGCATGCACATAGAGCATTTTTTACATGTTAAAACTTAAAATCATTCAATGTTAATAAACAAAACTCACCCATCCTGATGAGAGAGTTGTACTTGACATACTGTTTATATTATTAGATTTAGAAACATTACTTTCTTGGGGTGCACGACCTGTAGGTAGTACATCTTTGTGTGTGTGTAATTTTGCATCCAGGTGAAATTTTATTATTTTTCCTTTTGCAAATCTAATTTCTTATGATTGGATATGGGGTTAACCACTGTAATATAATATTGAGTATTTCTTGATGGAATAAATAAGCTTTCCAGCTAGAGGTTAGATTTTATCAACTAACCTTGTACATGGAATGCTACTCATTACCCATAAGGCCATAACTGATCGATTAGCATCTCTGGTTAGACATAAGGAAACATATTTCAATTGCATGTCTCTTTGGAATTGGTTTTTCGGTGTTATACTTCCTCTGTTCCTTTTTAATTGCAACAGTCAATATTTCACGTTTGCCAACGCACACGTTTGACCATCAATATCTTTCATTCCTTATTAGTAAAAAAATTAAAAAATTCATATTTTGAAAATTTAGAATGATAAGAATTTAACAATATTTTTTAAAAATTTAATTTATTATACATCAATTAATAAAATGTAGTCAAAGTAGAACATGTGAATAGTGCAAAAAGTCCAATGTTGCAACTAAAAGAGAACGGAGGTAGTATTTATCTAAACCATTTTTTGGTACAACAGATCAAAACTCTTTAACAATTTTCTTTTTTGATGAAGTTAATGTACCTACAGTGTAGTTTTGTACATATGGCGCCTTTAGAGTATGTATGGGAAGATCGAAATAAAGTGACTTATTCTACACTTTGTTTTCATGTCTTTTTGTGTGTGGATGGACTCGGTTGGGCAGCTCAGAGGATAACTACTCCATAGAGCCATATGATTGTTTCTTTCTGCTTTTCTTGTCCATTGACAGTTCAACGTTAACCCATTTTTTTGTGTTTGATAGGTTGACTTGAGAAGGGCCAACAACACTGAAATCATGTTAACGAAAGTGAAGATTCCACTTCCAGACATGATGGTTAGTTTTTATCGTCCGTATTTCAAACATCCCCAGTTGTTCATTCTAGAGCAGGCTCTATGCTATGCTTAATTATTTAATCACTCAATTAATTACCAGCTTCTTATAGTTAGGAACTTAGGACTAAGGATAATCGTATAATCTATGGCTTATAGGAAATGGGTATGCAATTTTGTTTTGTACTCAATGATTTGGAATGATGGTTGGCTGGTTGCACATTAGGGGGTACTAGTTCATACATTAGTTTCCTGGCTTTGAGGAAATTAGTACCAAGGTTTTTATGAGACTATGTTCCTTGTCCTTCTTTAGTTGGTACATTGAAAACAAAGCATCATAGTTTGGCAAAATATTGTGAATTAGGGTAAAATGTATATTGGTTCTCAAAATATTTCCCTCATATTGGTCCTTAAACTAAAGATTTTAACTCAGTCCCCAAACTTTATAATCTGTATCATTTTGGTCCTTTCGGTTAGTTTTCCTTCCGTTTATCCCTTATTTTCCATATGGCATGCCACAAATTGCCATATGGCATGCTATTAGTCACATGCAGCTCATATACTACATTACTACCATTGTACTATTACAACTGCATACGTTAATTATGAATGTAATTTAAAATAACTACATTTATAGTAGTACTTAAACTACATATACATTATTTTCTCACACACATATACTTAAAATCTATTTTGCAGTCCAAAAAGTATTTTAATAAAATTAAATTTATCTTTGAAAATATAATTGAGAATTGTGATTTATGAAATAGATTAACATGAACATTAATTAGTAACAACTGCATCCATGTTAAAAAATGTTTAATTTCCCGGTGGACTTCTCTGCAATAAAAAGTAGTGTATAAAGAAATACATAAAATAGAAACTTGCATAAACCTTTTGTGTGCAGGTGTTTTTCTTTTTATATCTAAAGTAAAACAGAAATTTGGGGTCAGCATTACGGAGTAATTAACTTCTGAAATTAAACATATTTCAAAATGACTTGCTAGTTAAAATGCACACTATTGTTAAAAAATATTAATTAAATTTGTTTGTTAATTTTATTTGTGTTAAAGAACTATTCAGATGAAAAATAGATTTTAGGCTTATGGCTCTGAGAAAATACTGAATTTCTGCTACTATTATTTATTTAATTTATACATATCAATCAATTCAACTTTTTAATAATACATTAACATTAAAATGATAAACTGTTAACACAGCATGTACTTTAGGGATGTTTCTCTTTAACATTTATTTTCAGTACTTCTCCTTTTCCCTGATCTCATTTATTCAAGCAGGCTGCTGCATTGGCAATGGATCATTCAATCTTGGATGCTGATCAAGTAGAAAATCTGATTAAGTTTTGTCCTACTAAAGAAGAAATGGAACTTCTTAAGGTGAAATTAATTGGTCTTAAACTGTAGTTTTTCCAAAAAGAATTATACCTTTGAGTATTGTTTCCTCCCTATGATCTGAACCCCTCTCTCTGCCAAATGATGAAATGTACCTTCCTTAACTTATGTCTATTCATTTTCGGTTACGGCTTCATAGAATTACACTGGTGACAAGGATAATCTGGGAAAGTGTGAACAGGTATGCCTCTAAATTGTGTAGTGTGTACTTTATAATGCAATGTTTCTTTATATTGTCGTATGCAGTATAGTTCTTTTAGAATGTGCCTCTATGGTTGATGGAATCTAGCTGTTTGTTGTGCAAATGATTTTCTGCTGATTGCTCTGTTTTTTATGTGATTCTTTTACTGTTGGATGATATATAAAGAATGTTATTCAGTATGCATAGTGAAGAAATAGACAGTTGGGGTTACATAGTATGCAAAGCAAATCTCTGTCCTAGTCTTGTGCCCATCCCAACCTTCAACTCAATAACACAATTTGTTACCGGCTAATAACTTGTATTTGACGTACAATCAATTAACAGCAAGTCATTAATGTTTTCAAGATGTCTCTGTAGACTGATCATATTTAAATATTATTTCAAAGATTGTCAGTTTACAATAAGCTGTTACTCTTTTATTCCAATGCATGCCAATCGTTGACACTTCATAATTCTCATTATACATTAACACTAATTTACTAGATATGTATATGTGCAAGACTTAGTCAAACAAATCTTCTGCTAGCTGCTTTGCAACGTTGCAGACTTGTTTTGTAAAACAAATAGTTTACTCTTAAATTCATAATAAATAAATTAATTTTATTGTTTATTAATGGGAAAGTTCCCGAAATGGGACTAAAAAAGTTTGAAAATTTCAAAATAGGACTATCATGTTTTTATTCCCAAAATAGGACTAATTACTGCCAAATTTGGAAAATACTGCCAAATTTAAAGTCTGGTACTGCCAAAACATGACAGTAATTAGTCCTATTTTGGGAATAAAAACATGGAAGTCCTGTTTTGGAATTTCCAAACTTTTTTAGTCCCATTTTGGGTAATATCTCTTTATTAATCTATTACAAATCTTTTGGGAATAAGGCTTGAATGTTGTTGTATTAATCTATCACAAATACATCGAGTGGAAATAGTGATTCACTATTTGAAGTGATATTTGATGATGTGTAAAGTAACAGTGGTTAATAAATAAATGATTATCAGAATTATGTGAAGTTGTAAACAGATACTCCCTCCGTCCCTTATAACTTTGACCGGCACTGGGAATAATAAAGTAAGAACTGTGTGGTTGAGATTTGTGCAGAGGATAGAGAAATAATATGAACCACAAATTAATTGATTAAAAGGGAAAGTGGCAATGTTTTGGGACAATAAAAAGGAAAGATGACAAAGTTATAAGGGACAATAGAGTATTATATATAGTACTTGCAACAAGTAGATAACATATCATGTTAATTAGGTTGAAGCCTTGAGGGTAAATAAACCAACACAGTTCATGAAAAAGTACCACATGGGTTAATTAAAAGGATGGGATAGAATTTGGGACACTGGGCCAAGACAGAGGATTTATGCCACATAGTATCGTGCTAGTCAGCTAGTGGTATCTTTGCAATCATATTGTTCATTGATTTATTACCTCACAAGTGCAATTGATGTTTTCCATCATTTGCAATGGAGTCAAAGATTCATAATTTTTTGGCTTGAGAATATGATGGAATAGAGCAAAATGACTCACTAAACTGTCTGCGCTTCTTTGTTATGAAGCAGCAGTCAGTCCATGCAATGTTGGACGCGATTTTCACTATGGGTCATCTGGAAACAGTCTCTCTGTGCTTTAGTACATGGGTAAGACTGCGTACATCCGACCTCCCCTTACCCCACCGTAGGTGGGAGCCTTTGCGGCACTGGGGTAAATGAAAATGAAATGAAAAATGACAAGTGCAATTGATGATTAATCAACAGAATTGTTTAGGGTGTTGCTTACTTGAAGTTCTAATCAATGGCAGTATGAACTTAACTCAAATATGATGCTTGGTAGCATTAGTATTACCACTCGAATGGGAGCCGGTGTCCCTAAGTCCTAAGACCCGCCAATTCAGGACTTATTGATGGGAATGGCACTCCTAGGGAGTGGATGGGAATGTCACTCTCATTCCCCTAATTTTTTATTATATTCAAAAGCTCAAAGAACCCACCGACATGTTATTTTTATTGCAAATAAGTGAAGTTGTAAATTAAATAATAAAATATATTCTTATTCATCATCAAATCTGGATTAAAATAACTCCATAATAAAAGTTGAAGTGGTATATCACTATAGAGTTCTTAATTATGTGAAACAACAATGAAAAATAATAGTGAATTAGTGATTGAATTACAAAAGCTAAGTCATTCAAAAAACACTATCCAACTCATTTTAATTACCGCTGCATATTCTTTGTATAAGGGCAAGACTGGAATTGGAAAGCCCATGCTTTTTCCACCGACAGTAAACACTTCAGTGATGTTTTTATTCATATTCCTACCACTCAAAATTCCAATACACATGAACTGAACACGTGATTAGTGTTTAAACGAATCAATCTATTAATCCATTTGAAATTTTAAATAAGCTATAATAAGACAATATAGAGGATGATAAGCTCTTACCTTTTCTTTACTTAATGTGAATTTTCAGTTTTTTCTGGAACTGATGAAGGTACCACGGGTGGAATCAAAATTAAGAGTTTTTCTCTTCAAGATTCAATTTAATTCCCAGGTTTTAACACATTTTTTCATATTCTGAAGCTCTAGATCTTGTTGTTGTTGTCACCATCGTCTAAAATTGACTCTTTCATTAGGTCTCAGATTTCCGAAAAAGTTTGTCTACTGTTAACTCTGCTTGTGAAGAGGTATTACAATATTTTGGCTTTTTTAGATCTGTTTTTGCTGTATTTAACTTTTGCAAGCTTCAGGTCCGGAATTCTTATAAACTGAAAGAAGTCATGTGGAGAATATTACAACTGGGAAACACGTTAAATCAGGGAACTGCCAGAGGTAAGAACTTATTGACATGGTCTTGGGCATATGTGTGTGTATACACACTCACGCATGCACATACAAACACATAAACACACGCACATGTACACACATATGCTAAATAATGCACTCTATTTCAAGAAATCTTGAAAATTTTGTGAACTCCAATAATACTCTGTATAATGATAGATAAATAAAATTTATGAGCCACTTTCTCTGTAGTCCATTTAGTCGTATGAAGTATGAACGCCAAAGCTGTATGGATCTGCGTATTCTGAACCATTTCTGCATTGGATTATTGAGAAACCACAACAAGTTTTATATTGCACAAAAGGAGACTAAATATTGCATTCATCTAAACACAAATAAGTTATTGTTTACTTGGGCCTTAATCGGCTGATCTGAATGTCTGATTTTATTTATCTGTATAGTCTGAAAATGTTTGCAGAATTGCAGTATACCCTCGGGATTAAATTCAATATATCTACCTTTTGCCAGGTTCGGCTGTTGGGTACAAGTTGGACAGTCTTTTAAAACTTACTGATACTCGTGCCACTAACAACAAGATGACACTCATGCATTACCTTTGTAAGGTAATGAACATAAACTAGTTTCATAGCTTGTTTGTTTGATATATATTCTCCCTATTTTTTCTAACACTGTTCATGCAAAAGAATAATGCAACTATTCTCAAACAATGATACCAAGAAAATTTCATAACTAGGGTCCCATTATGAGAAATGAAGTTGTTCAAAATAACACCATGATCCCCAGGCATGAAATTTTTCATAATACCTAGTTTCTTCAAAAACTAGAAGCCCATTAAAGTCAGGAAAATCTCTGAGAAAATTCTCTAGTGGTTCATTGTGGTGTGCAAATGACCCAAAAGGCTTTTTTATGGAAACAGTATTCTCATCATAAAAAAGATTGTGCAGCGATGGCAGGTGTCCTGAACCACTCAGCATGGCTGTGCTGAGTGCGCTCCCCACGCTGACCACGTCTTTCGCTACATTGGTAGGTTCTGTCTGACACTAAACCAAGTGGTCATGGCCTCAAAAGTTTTTGCTTTTGAGTCTGAAAGTTCTTTATGTGTTGCGACAATAAGCCACCTATGATGGATTTGAGTGCTGTCTTGTCATTGGGGCAATGGGGCATCATGCAAGGAGCGTGGGCTGGTCTCTGCATACCAACTGATGCAAGCAGAAGCTTACAACCAAAATAACAGACACATATAATATGCCGGTTTACTATCAGATATACATATATTTGAATAATTGTAGAACTAAACGAAATATATTGACTGATAGGAGTAATCCAATGTTTAATAAAACAAGGGTTAATGTTTCCTAACAATTGAAAAGAACAACCACTATTTACAAGTTACTAAACTTGAATAACCAGGAAAATACAATTCCCGAACTAATGAGGAAATTGTACCCCCCAGACTTCCTATGAAAGCATGAGTTATGAACTAGGAAAAACATAATGGTCTAATTGGAACTTAGTATAAACAACAGTATTAACTATTAATACATCATATGTACATTACTTTGCAAGGTAAAAAACCCTGTGGGTGCTTTCAAAGATGAGTCTGCCATTTATCAACTATACTCATAATCAGATTCCATTTGGATGGACTGAATTATTCATTTGGCCGTTATGAGATTATACTTTAATAAGTTCCTCTTTTCTTTTGTACATCCTTTTCACTATTCTCCTTCTGCTATTAGTAGATCTATTTTTCACGTTCATTTTTCTGTAAGAGGTTGTTTATTTAGAAGTTTCTAAGAGGTAGGATTTGGATACGATACTTCTCTTAAAACTAGAAGAATGACCGTAAGTAACTTTTCTGTATTTACTTTTTGGATAATGACATAGGAATTCACACACAAAAGGTATGCATGATTTATAGACTCATCTGTGTCTGACGTTGTAAGGTTTTGATGTCTCGGTCATGTTACCTATATAAGGTATTATGACGCTCTAAATTATGCCTTCCCAACATATCTGACCGAAAGCTTCAGGGTTGTTCACTGTCATAAGCATCTTCAGTGCATGATAATCGTGTCTGTGAGCGATTTGTTCTCCAAATGGATTGACACATGATTATCAATATATAATCATTATATGCTAGCTCTGTAACTTTTTGTAGAGGATTGGTTCAGTGGTGCTTACTAACCTAATTTTGTTTTCTAATAATGCAGTAAATCTTTTTTCTGATTCTACAGTTTTTCCCTTCATATAATGGGAGTGTTTTTTCTTGATTTTCTATCATGTCCTTATTCTTCCCCTTTGCTAAAATTAGAGTTGGGTGTTTTGGAGGTCATGTTCGCTAATGATTTCCTTTGGCTTCCATCAGGCTCTTGCTTCAAGGTCACCTGCACTTCTGGACTTTCATGACGATTTTGCAAGCCTAGAAGCTGCATCTAAGGCTAGTATTTAGTTTTTTTTTGTGTTTATTGTTAATGCAAAGTACTAAGGAACTCAGGAAATAATTATTACTACCTCCGTCTCGGCTTAAGGATCCCATTGAAAAATGGCATTGTTATTTAGACAATAAGTGAATAAGGTAATTCAAGTATATTTTGAGAAGTAGTTTGGATGGGTATATAACTATATATAACATAATGGAGTAATTGATGATTACTGTGATGTCATAGATGTATTACTTTTAATATTTAATTATGTTGTCATTTAAGAGTGCAAATTGTTTCCTAAAATAGGAGCGGGATCCTTTAGATGGGGCTGTCCAAAGGCCATTAAAAACCTTTACCTAGGATGGAGAGAGTATTTCTCTAAATATTGGTTTGTGCCATCAGATACAATTGAAATCTTTAGCTGAGGAAATGCAAGCCATCATCAAGGGACTGGAAAAATTAAAGCTTGAACTGGCTGCGTCCGAGAATGATGGACCTGTATCTGAAATTTTCCGGAAGGTACTTTAGCATTTGATGTTCTCATTCAGTTGTATTTCATTGTTATCCACTCTTGATTATCCAACAGTCCTTTTTAAGATGCATCAAAGGAAAACAAATAAAAATGATTTCATCTTTATAAGCCAAAGCTCAAGAAATCTTCTAAGACACAAAGGAAAATAAAGAAAAATAGGGTAAAGGGTCAAATAAGCCCCCTGAACTGACTTAAAGTGTTCAATTAGCCCCTTACATAGGAGGTTCTGCTCGGCCTTCGCCAATTGAGCAGTTCCCGGTGGAATTTTTTGATGAATTTTTTTGAGCATCTTCTTCATTAAGTCTACTTTACTCATACCAAATTTCAGCTAAAAATTCAACCGGGAAGGTAGTCAAATGATTTTTTGAAGATAACTGTGAAGTTAAACAGCACAGTACATTTCGGAAAATCATTTGATTGCCTTATCAGTTGAATTTTTAGCTGAAATTTGGAATGGGTAAACTAGACTTAATGAAGAAGATGCTCAAAAAATTTCATCAAAAAATTCCACCGGGAACCACCCCAATTAGCGACGCCCGGGCAGAACCTCCTATATAAGGGGCTAATTGAACACTTTAAGTCAGTTCAAGGGCCTATTTGACCCTTTAGCTAGAAAAATATTCCATCATTAACATCACATTTTTACTTAGGGGAAGAATTGTGTTGAATGTCTTTGCATCTTGAAGTGGACTAGGCGTGCACAATGTATGCTAAGAGTCTAAGGCTGCTGCATATTTTTAAGATTTTAAAAAAAAGTTGCTGTTTCTCTTTCACAAACTATTTTATTGTTTTTTGTTGCATGAAGTTTTGACTCTAGGCAAAAAGATGCTCTATGTGGGTTCTATTCTGAAACTGAAATATTTTTTTAATCCTAATTATTTTTTCATTCACTCATAATAAACAGACACTAAAAGAGTTCATTGGAGTTGCTGAAACAGAGGTGACATCTGTAACAAATCTATATTCCACAGCGGTTTGTTCAAGCATTTCTTCTCTCTACTTATTTAATTGTATTTTATCTTGAACGGGGGTGTTTGTTATGATAGAACATGTTTACTTTTATTGGGAGGTATAAACAACTTTCCACTCGTTTTACCCCTTCATAACAAATAAACTTTTAAGGGGAGCCTTGTGTCCAGTTACGGTAACTGTGTTGCTTAGAGGTCACGGTTTAAGTCTTGGGAGCGGCCTCTTGTCAAAATGACAAGGGAAGGCTTGCTCCTTATACCCTTGTGGTGGGACTCTTACGCGGACCCTCGCCTTGCGGGGACGCCAATGTGCACCGGGCTGCGCTTTGAATAGCAATAAATTTTAGCTTGGATGGATAGTGCATTCAATGTTAGCTTTTAATTTGTATCCCATTGGAAGTGAATATCATGGATCGGTTCATGTTACCCGACCCCAAAATCTTTTGGGAATATGGCCTGGATGTTGTTTTTGTGAAAGTGAATGACCAGGGATTGGTGTGAGGGTGATTCCCTTGCCAAAGTGAATTAAGTTCCACTTCGATCACTTTCCACTTCTGGAATTGTTATTAATTCGAATTCCCACTGATCTACGCTTTATACTTTTGATAAACAGGGAAGGAATGCAGATGCACTGGCACTGTATTTTGGTGAGGATCCTGCCCGCTGCCCATTTGAGCAAGGTTGGAAAGTCTATTGGTACCTTCTTTAGTTCCAAGTATTTCTTTTGGATGTGATGTGCTTTATGGCAATTAATATATCACCTCAAACAGTTTTATGTGTTCATTCTTAAAAATTAAATAGACCTCTATAAACTTTGTGTGATGGAATGTGTAAATCTTTATTTTAGAGGACCAAACAAGCTTGACTGTATCAGAAATATTGATGGCCCAGTTGGGTCGATGACCAAAGGCATAGCATGGTTAAATGCTGTATACTGTTTAAAAATCTTTAAATGATGGAGATTGAAACAATGTCAGAGAAATTGCTCTCAAATATTGTCTAGCCTTGAATAAACGATGCTGATATTTCGAAGCACAAAGGGAGTGTGCTGAAGCCGTTTAAGTAGGTGATGATGATCATAAGAATCTTATTTAGTTGTTTTAGCTAAATCCGTCGTAATAAAACAAGGATTTTAATCATTTTCTTCCACATGCATGGGAGTGGTATTTGATAAATTTGTTACTTTATGAAGTGGTTTATAAATCTAGTGGAACCTGAATTTCACATGAACCTAAAGTGACTCTGAGTGCCCAATATATTTTAAGTACTGTTTCTTGATCGCTCCTTAGTCCTTCCCAAGTCTAGTTAATGAATTAGTGTCAATCAATATCACGATTTGGGCACTTTATGTGTCAAAAAATGGTGAATCTCATACATGCGGTTCTTGTTAATTGATGCAGTTACTGCAACCCTCTTAAACTTTGTGAGGTTGTTCAGAAAAGCCCATGAGGAGAACTTGAAACAGGCTGAATTAGAAAGGAAAAAAGCTCTAAAGGAGGCTGAGACGGAGAATGCTAAAGGCATGAACCTTACAAAGAGGGGTCCTAAAGAATGACAATCCCATGAAATGCATGGTGCCAGAAAATCGGTGCAAGCGGTTAGCGGACCAACCACAAAAAATCTAAACTACTTTCGAAGTACTTTAGTTTGCGTGGGATTCAAAGTATGAAGTGCATTTTCAAGGCTTATGAACCTGAAAGTGCCAGTTATGGCTCAGCAGGCGAAGCTAAATGGGGCCTGAAAGTGCAGTTTTGGAGGGTAGATGTTATTGCTTTCATGTTCTCCCTCCATGTGCTATGATCAGACAGGAGTAATCGACTTTGCACATGGCGCCAGAGATATATCCATTGGGAAGTGTAAAGGGGAAGAAGATCTACAGGTATGCATTAGTCTTGTACAGAACATAGAACTATATAGATTATTTTATTGTAACATAGGAAGGTCCCTTTCCATGAAAGAATATATGGGAATTGACCATGGAATTTGTTGTACAGAAAGTATTAGTCGCCATCATGCTAGCTAGGTAGATTGGTTAGTGGCGTAACAAAGAATAAGCTTATCAGGTTAGAATGTTAGATGCCTCTTTCACAGTTTGCTAATTCTTTTATTTGTTTTTCATTGGAATTATTTTTTGACACAATATCGATTATTAATACAATGCGTGCATTTCTTTTCAATCAAGTAATTTGTTTTTGAGGTTTTGTTCTGGTTTCTGAACTCTTGAAAAGTAGTTTGCTTTATCAATTCATCCAGCATTTTTTGGGTGGTTTCAAATGTAGTGCCAAAACTCATTGGGTATCAGCAAATTGCAAGGACACAGAATGATACTCCCCCGTTTTTATTATTTGTATTATATATTCCTTTCTGTGGGGCAATTATGATATGCCCCATGACTTTGACAACTTGTACTCTTAATTTACCCTTAATTCACATAAATTATGATATATTAACTTTTCATCATCTATTTTTACCGTTTCGACCTTCTACTTTTGCTTCATGTCTAACCAACTATTCACTTATACTATTTTCATCATAAATTATGTGAAAAACTCATGGAAGCAATCAAATAAAGACGGTGGTATATGATCATATATGACAATCACAAGAAATGCATAAAACATAGTTAATCACATCTGTATATGCCGGAGTGTCTCGTGTGTGAGAGAACGTGTTCTAACCTGCAGTTGCATGCATGTGGAAGCTACCAAGGTTAAAAGACTTAATCTTAGTGAGGTAATTGTGATGACAATTCGTAGTTTCTTAATGACGTTATAATAGGCATGGACCAGTACCGGGTCGGGCTCCGGTCCGGTCCAAATTGGGCTTTTTGTTTGTGAGTTAAGGCCCGGAACTGGCCCGGGATTCTACCGAGACCGGGTCGGGCCAAGTTCATTTTTTTTATAGCTTTTCTAATTAATTCCTATCCCCCACCCCGCCAAAACACCCAGCCCAACCCGTCTACCACCAAAACAATTCGAAAAAAAAAAATATTGGCCTGGACCGGCCGGGCCGGTTCCAAGATGGCTGAGCCCATGACCCGTCCCAATCACCCCCCGGTTCGGGCCCCAGGCCTGGTCTTGGTCCCGGTTCACCGGGCCGGGCCGGTACCGCACAGTGGCGGTCCGGGACTCCGGGTCGGTCCGACTGGCCCCGATCCAACACTAGTTCATACACAGAGTTTCAAGTACAGTAGAGACAAACTAACCAGAGTTTCTTCAATTTATTTATTCAATCGCTGTATTATTTGTTAATCAGTGACATAAAACTATGGAAGAAGTATTACCACCAAGCGTCTTACTTGCTAATGAGAATGAAAGCGTATACCATGCAACCGGCAGTACGGTACCCGTTGTATAACCCGGTGGCAATTTTTTAATTTTGTGAACATCATGACTTGTATTAAATGAGCATTGATGCAATATTGGTGAACACCAAACCTGCTCTTTTGAGTATTATGAGTCTAACAATGAGAATCAGTAATCTCTGCTTCATATCTTCTAAATCATTTTTTATTATTATTTTTCTTCTATAAAAATTCCAATTAATTTTAATATGTGAATCTAATGTAGAATGATACATTTGAGATGTGCAACATTTTAAAGTGAGCATAAAGCGGTACCAAAATGAGCAAACATAACTTACAAAATGAGTATAAAAAAAATTCAAAGCTCATTTGTGTATGCTCATTCCTTTTAGGCATATACTCATTTGAGTTTAATATAAAACTAAGATGAATAACAAAATTTGTCAACAAAGAAGTAGAATCATGCGATTAAGCATCATGATATATATATATATATATATATATATATATATATATATATATATATAGAATAGAGATCAAATACAAAGCCTTCTTAATTTACAAAGTACAAACTCATCTTGACCGTCCGATGAGTTGATCCAAAGGACATAAAGGCAAGGTGTCATTTTTGTAATAAAACCCAACTTTTTAGGGTGCAACTCGTTGCACCTTAATGTGCAACTGTTATTTTTATGACTTTATAATGTGCAATACTTTGAACCTCAATATGCAATGCAAATAACGTCAAGGTGCATCGTACAAATATTTGCACAATAAGCACACTTTGTACTTGATCTTTCCCCTATATATATATATATATATATATATATATATATATATATATATAGGAAATCGCTCCGGTAAGGTATACCTTACCGGAGCCGCCGTGCGGCCTCAACGTTTTGAAGGCCTTCCCGGTGGAATTTTTCGATGAATTTTTTTGAGCATGTTCGTCATCAAGTGTAGTACATCCATACCAAATTTTAGCAAAAAAATTCAATCGGGAAGGCAGCCAAACGATTTTTGAAAGATAACTGCATTATATATATATATATATATATATATATATATATATGTATATTATATTTATGCATCATGATATCAGTGGCGGAGCCAAACATTTAGGGTTAAAGATCCGGTCCTTAAAATATCAATATACTTTCTACAGATTAAAAGTATTTATAGATAATACTCCCTCCGTCCCTTATAATTTTGCCAACTTTCCTTTTTTGGATGTCCCATTAACTTTGCCACTTTCCCATTTAAGTAAAGAATTTGTGGTTCCAGTTAATTCTCTCTCCTCTGCACAAACCTCAACCACACAGTTTTTACTTTATTAATCCCCGTGCCGGTCAAACTTGGCAAAGTTATTAGGGACGGAGGGAGTATATACTTAAGATTTTTTTTTCTTGCGGGGGCCGTGGCCACCGCCAGCCCCTCCCTATCTCCAACCCTGCATGATATGTTCTCCCATGTCTATGCGAATCTATTATACATTTGAAATATACATTGATATATCATTTTACAATGAGCATAACATCAATATCAAATTAATATATATATATATATATATATATATATATATATATATATATATATATATAACTTACAAAATGAGTATCGGAAAACTTTGAGTAGTTGAGTATCAAAATATAATAATATTTGATATACTCCGTATAAAATTAATAATAATAAATGAGTTGCATTAATCAATTTTGAGTATTTCAAAGTAACTCTTATTATGGGACACACATAGTAATAATGAATAACCCTTGTTAATTGTACCAAAAGTACGGAGTAAGAAAGAACGAAACATGTATGATCCATTTAAAAAACGGTAACCGTTTTTTTAACAAAATTTACAACCTAAGGTAGTCGTAGATCCCACTTCCAAAGCACGTCGCGAGCTGGCACGTTTGCAACCAGTCTTATTCAGTGAAGGAAAATATCAATGGATGTTAATACGTACTATAATCAGCATTCACTTTACAATTAATTACAAAAATATCCGGCTGTACCAAGGACATGGTTCAACCGGTTGTATGATATAATTTAACGATGAGAACCACCCGTATATTCTAGGTTTCACCATGTTGACCGGCCCAACTTTGTGACTGGGTCATCGGTTTCTAGATTGCCAATTGGACTGGATATTAAGCATATCTTTCAATAGCCTTTTATTCGTGTTTTTTTAAACGGAAATTAAATTCGTCGATAAGAGAAAAGCAAGCAACTTGTATGAGACAAATAATCACTTGTACACAAATTATAACGACTTATATGGTGTAGATGAGGTGGGGGCTAGGCCCTGTCCAACTCAACTCGCCACACACGTGTGTGTGCGCATGCATGCATGCATGTATATTTGTAGAAGTTTCACTATAAAAATCAGTCGAAAGAATTACGTTTATGTACCATTTCAAATTCACTATTTGGGTATCTCTAAAAAAATCGCATAATAGAACTATAATGTGGTAATTACAGGTAAGGTCTATTTTTGTGTGCCACATATAATTTATGACCCAGCCTTTTTTTCTTTTCATTTTTAAGTACCAGGGGCGGAGCCAGGGCACTGGGCCGGACTGGGCCGATACAGAGAATATTTTTGGAAAAAGTTTTACACGGAATTTTTTACACTAAAGATTTAGACATTTTTAAAATTTGGGCTGGGCCAGGGCCAGGGTTGGCCTTCCCCTAGCTCCGCCCCTGTTTTTAACATTTTCTATTTTCAATTAAGTTGTTTTATTTCACTTTTAGACGGTAGTTTCCGCCCAGCCGTTAAATGTTAGAACCGTAGAATAGTATGACTGGAGACATTTGGAGACCGGTTGAAAGATTTGAAGAGCGGACGGCAAATTTTCGGATCTCTTCTCAAGAAAGTGGGATCTGCGACCAAAATTGGGAATCGCCGATGGAGATATGTTTGATTTCCTCGTCCCACAGTCGTCTGACATCCAGGTGATAAATTCAGTGATCTCCAGTCTGCGAATCTAGAGCGGAGGTGTCTATGTGTTTCTGGTGCAAATCAGAAATTGGATCTTCCTTCTACGTCCAGGCAAGATCTTTCACTATGGAGAACAGAGTAACCAGGGTGGTCGGAAGACGGTTTCGCAGAGCTGAGCTGAGCAGAGATGTCGTTAGCGCACTCGAGGTACGATTTGGAGCAAGATAATTACGGTTGCCTAGGTCACTGATTGGAATTTCTTATTAAGTTTTAGGCCTGAAATTGCTCCTTGACCTTCGTTTTGGCGGAACTTGGAGGCATTCCAACGACAACGAAGAGGACAATGAGCAATAGAATCGAGCAGGTCTTAGTACAGGCTGAGGTGGTGAAACAACAATTGCTAAACATCGGACAGTAAGAATACTCTGTTGCTCTTAGTGTTGTAGGTAGTCGCCACTTTCATGTTTGAATGCATGTAAATTCATGATTGCAGGCAGTCGCTGGGGCCTGGGGCTCTCTGATCAAACAGTCATTCACAACCATTTTTGAATATTTATAGGTATTAACTAGATTTGAAGAGGGGAAAATTGCTGATTAATAGACTTCTTTTGAGAACTATGTTGAAATTTTGCTTTTGCCATCTGGTATTGTACATGTCATTTGAACTTTCACTGCCACGAAAGATCTGTATATTTTTTATCTCATGGACAGATGTTGTAGCTGATTGCTATGTTGTTGCTCAGATGCGTTGGTCCAAACTTCAAATGTTATGCTTTATCTTGCTGCTGCAGTTTTCTGACTTTTATGTTCCCTAAGAAAGCTTGGTAGTACTTGATTCCTAGCTTGATGATGGCTTGTCTGTAACTTGTCATTGAAAAAACCTAGATAAATTGGGTTGAATTCTCTCTGTAAACTACTTTCATTGAATTCCAATAATGCCATGTTTGTGCTTTTTTATTTTTAAGTAAAGATGTCATATGATGAATTTTTCTTTTACAGACAAACCATAAGACCCAATCTCGAGCAGATCCTTTGGCTGCTACTCGATCAAGTGCCAAAGATGCTTTCATTGCTTAGAAGTGAATGGTTACACTAGAAGACACATGTCAGTCGCAACCGCTTTAATTTACATTGGCCGGAGCGCTTCTCAGTTAGGTTGGCATTTAAGTTATTGAAAGTTTTGAAGGAATTGCTACTGATGCCTCAATCAGAATTTGAAACTCCATTGTTAACCATTTATGTCTTCCAATATTGTGTTGTGCTATCAATAAGTCTTTCTTGCTATGTAAATTTAATTCAAAACATTGAAGTGGCATTTGACATTTTTTAATCATCCGTCTCTACTCTATGTGTTGTAAAAGTTTTCAAGCAACTTCTTTTGGCATGCGATGTGATGACAAAACTAATGATTGGAAAAGTTCTATGCATAAGAGCTATGAATAGAATCTGTAGAAAATTTACATTTTATTTGTATGCATTTCCTAGCCAATAAAAAATTTCAGTTGTTTACATAATTTATTATGAATAAAATTCTTTTGATATGCACATATATATGTAACAATGTTGGTTATATAGGTGTATTAGTTCCTTGTTATAATTTATTCAAATTTTGTGTCATAGTGATTGCATTTCCATTGTAGGTACTAATAGAAAATAAGTACCTGAAGATGCAAGGCTAAGAAGATGACAAAGAAAGTGAAGACAAAAAAGGACAACCTTTTAATTTGTGTGTTGAGGCGCAATAGATAAATGTAATAAATTGTAATAAGAGATTGAATTATATACATGTTGTCATATTTTTATATGTTGTTTTTGTTGCTGATTGTTGCATTGCACATGTTGCTTTTTGTTGCATTGTGTTGTTTTTTTATTGTATCATGTTTCTTTTTGTTGTATTGTGCTCCTTATTTTTTTATTGATTTTGATTTTTTTCTATTTACATTTATATCTATAGTTCTTACCTATATGGATTAAAAAATCACACACACACACACAAACACATAAAAAGATAAATACATATTTATGAATTAACAAAAAGAAACCTCTAGAAACAATAATAAACAAAATATCAAAGTTATCAACAAAAAGAAACACAAAGAAACAATATGCAACAAAAATAACAATTAAATGGTAATAATAACTAACATGTATGAGCATATCATAATTAAAGTTTTTCCATTTAAAATTTTTCATTTTTGTTATTTTACTTTTTCATTTTTTCAATTTTTAATATTAACACACTTTTTAATTTCTTCAAATCACATAATTCATATTCTTTAGTATTTGTTCAGTTTTTAACAATTTTTTAGTTTTTTATTTACCTTAATTTTAACATTTTTAATTTGGAATGTACATTTATTATTTTCCGACATTCCTTAAACTTTTTGATCTTTTTTGTGAAAATTTAAAGGTTTTTTTTGTTGTTTTGATTTATTTTGTAATTTTATTTATTGTAGACTTTTTATTATGTATTTCATATATTTATCTTCATTTTATAGAATATTTTAGATTTTTTATTTTAAAAAAGTTCTAATTATTTTTATCTATTTTAGCATTTCTTAAAATGTTTAAAAAATATATAATTTATACGGAGTAATATATTTAATTTAATATTTTTTTCAGTTCTTTTAATCTTTTTATATTTGCTCATTTTTTTTTAAAATTGTTTTACTTTCATGTTTTCAAAATTGAACAAGCTTGGAGATAATAATGTCTTTGTTTGTTAATGTAGCATATAGTTGACTATTCTTCCATTTTTTGAATCAACCTACTGTGACACTCCGTAAATTTAATACTAATAAAGATACGGAATTTGTTAATTGCATTTGTAGGTATTTTTCATTATATAACTTATGTTTCGGGACGAAACATCTTTTAAGGGGGATAGAATGTGACACCCCGAAAATTTAAATAAAATAAATAAATTTATTAGTCAGATAAAATGTTACGAAAGTCACATTTTTATAATTAAGTGAATCAGATAAAATTTTAACATCGGTGACAACTTTAATCAGATAAAAATGTTTCAATAATAAAAGTGACATTTTTATAATAGTTGTGTTGACTAGATAGGACCTTGACTTAAATGATTAAAGTGACGTTTTTGAAACAAGAGATAAATATAGGTATGATATAAATAATAAAAGTGAGTCAAGTGACATTTTAACAACTTTAATGCAAAAATATCGGTTAATAATATGCGTATGAAAGTACACTAAATACCACACAAAAATAACTCTTGGGACCTAATATATACATGTATACATAATAGTAAAATACTTGCCATAACTATAGTATACCCCATGCGTACTAATAATATATATAAAACGAGTATAACAATAATTTAGATAAAACCAACGACCAACACACATGACTATACATGTATATGTCAAAACTTGTGAGATAAGTCCAAAGATAAGAAAAGTATAGTACTACCCGGTCGTACGATTCTAATAATAGTAGGCACATGGGATTCTATACAACTTACTACTCCTCAATGATACACCTAGCAATACACATCAAAACAAACGTACTGAGACACATGCAAGGCTAGCTGGGTCGACGGCAATTAATACGGAGGAAGTATAACGCCAAAAAATAATATACTGCGTACACACACATATCTTCATAAACCCACCCATATCTTTTGGAGACAAAACCTACGATGCGTATTGTATGCAATGTACTTAACCTTAGCCTGGAAGCAGTGTTTAAAAAAAAGCAGTCACCCGATCGACCCTCACTGCATATACCCAAAACGAGCGAATGACTTAGAAAGAAAAGAGAGCAAAGGAAAGGGAAAAGAAGGAAAGAAAAGAGAGAAAGTAAAGTCGGGAGTAGGAGAGAAAAGATATATAGCGAGGGAGAGAAAGAAAGGAAAAGTGCGAGAGAAAAGAGAGAAGAAAGGGAAGGATGCTCAATCGTCGCCGGAAACCGCCGGACTGGGTCCCACACCGGAGGTAGAACGCCGTCGCTGCTGTAAGAGTAACTAGCGCCAGAGGAGGAAAAATGCCGGGGTGATTGCTAGGCTATGTCTCCGAGTCTCCGTCTGGTCCTTAGATTATCAACCGGTCATCCCTTCCATCGTGAAGGAGGTAAACTCCACCATCTATCTCCGGCATAAATATGAAGAAGAAGATCGAAACCTCATTTACGTTGTTTTTTAAAGTCTGGTTCTAGTTTGATTGTGCTGGAGCTTTGTTATGATAAGAGAATAAACTTAGGCTCTAGTTTGGGATTGGCCGTAGGTAATGTTTATAGCACTGAAATGAAAATAAATAGTAATAATAGAAATAGTTACAATGACATTAATAATAATAATGATGCGGATAATAATGAAATCAATTGAGTAGGAGAAATTGGAGCAAATGAAAAATATATAATAAAATACTAATTTTGAAATTTTAATAGTTAAAAGGTGATTGCGGTGAAGACCGAAATAACAAGTTGAATAAGAGTGTCAAGATTCGAGGTAAGTTTCTCTGCCGATCCAAAATGATTTCCTCGTACTATATGTTATTATGTGATTAAGTGTGAATTTTGAATTATGTGTATGTGATTTTGAGGAGATATTAGATCTATGGAATTTGCGAAGTGCAAACTAAGTACTTTTGGGTATTAAATATTTTTAAATGCCTTTGAGACTATTTAGAGAGATTGAGAGATATTTTTGGAAGTATATCTAAAGTCAAGATAAAATTTACGTTTTCATAAGAAGTGAGCACCCGGGAGAAATCCGTGGTGTCGGTTTTCCACATCCGGATAAATGTGGAGGGTGATTAAGGCTGCTACTACTAAGAAGTACAGTTTGAGTTTGAAGTGACATTTGGGTCTATGATCCCTTTTAAGAAGAAGTTATAGTAGTAGTAGTCCGTAATCATTCAAGAATTTTAAAGGTGGGGTGGTTGGTAGACTGAGTCCCGATTACTCGTGACGACTTACTACTCGGAGGGCTTGGAATCCCTTTTAGGGGGTGTGCACACTTAAGGTAGTCGTTTCGTTTCCATTAGCAGTTGTGGTACCGGCAAAAGTCCCGGGGTGGCCGTACATAACAACGTAACCACCGGGCTCAACCAGAATGTTGAGCACCGCCCTTCTAAATTACTAGGAAGATAGAGAAGAAGTGAATTTTGAGAAGTTCTAAGAGAAGAGTTACTATAGTATTTTCGAAGAAAAGTTGAGGACTTTAGTAAAGAAGTGATTTTGAGAAAAATCAAAGAGAAAAGAATTAAGGTGGAGTGTGTCATTTTTATATAGTATTATATGAAAAACTATTTTTAGCCAAACCTGATTATTTTACGGGGTTGGGTAGTACTTACTTAGCTCTAAAGCTAATTTTTGTTTCCTTTTCTTTGTTTTGTTTTCTGCACTTTATTTGTGCAGGTGATGATGAATATGTTGATTGATGATTTGCATGGTCTTGAGAGCGGTTGAGATATACCTTAGTCAAACCTAGTCAAGAATTATTATTCAATTATGTTAAACACTTGTTTTACTTTGTTTAATTTTGTGATTGCCTGTGCATTCGGTTAAGAGATGACCGGATGTGGCGGTAACACCCATTTCCCAATTAATGTTATTTCCGCTGCAAAACGATTTATTTGTTTTGAAAGGATAAATCAAGTTTATTATGAATAAATATATTATTTCAAGTAATATTTTGGGAGGGAAAATGGGGGTGTTACAAATTGGTATCAGAGACTTTGATTGTTAAACTGGGGATTTTTAAACAAAAACTTTCTCTTAGGTGAATATGGTTTCCAAAAAGATTTTATAACCTTTTTTTTGCGATTTTCTAAAATTGTTTTTAAAGCTATATTTTCTTAGACATATGAATTTTTTTTCCAAGAAGTTTATTTCTAAATGTTTTCAAAAAGCTTATGACAGATTCCCAAAAGTTTTTTTTAAAGAAAAAAAAAACTTAGGAATAATAATTGGACTAAGGAAATATTAAATTTAGGATCGTGGTGAGATTGTGAGATTTATATTTTTTTGGAACTTGATATTAATTTGAAATAGGCACATTTGTGATATATTCCTATATACATGTCTAGAAAAGACTTAAAGCTAGTGAGGAGAAATCTATGATGTCGTATGGGCACATTTGCTCCTATGTGTTTGATTTTGTAAAAAAAAAAGAGAGAGAGAGAGAGAGACAGTAAGAGTGTCCTATGAAATTTTAGGATTATATATGCTTCAGGGACGAAGCATTCTTTCAAGGAGGGTAGAATGTGACACTCCGTAAATTTAATACTAATAAAGATACGGAATTTGTTAATTGCATTTGTAGGTATTTTTCATTATATAACTTATGTTTCGGGACGAAACATCTTTTAAGGGGGATACAATGTGACACCCCGAAAATTTAAATAAAATAAATAAATTTATTAGTCAGATAAAATGTTACGAAAGTCACATTTTTATAATTAAGTGAATCAGATAAAATTTTAACATCGGTGACAACTTTAATCAGATAAAAATGTTTCAATAATAAAAGTGACATTTTTATAATAGTTGTGTTGACTAGATAGGACCTTAACTTAAATGATTAAAGTGACGTTTTTGAAACAAGAGATAAATATAGGTATGATATAAATAATAAAAGTGAGTCAAGTGACATTTTAACAACTTTAATGCAAAAATATCGGTTAATAATATGCGTATGAAAGTACACTAAATACCACACAAAAATAACTCTTGGGACCTAATATATACATGTATACATAATAGTAAAATACTTGCCATAACTATAGTATACCCCATGCGTACTAATAATATATATAAAACGAGTATAACAATAATTTAGATAAAACCAACGACCAACACACATGACTATGCATGTATATGTCAAAACTTGTGAGATAAGTCCAAAGATAAGAAAAGTATAGTACTACCCGGTCGTACGATTCTAATAATAGTAGGCACATGGGATTCTATACAACTTACTACTCCTCAATGATACACCTAGCAATACACATCAAAACAAACGTACTGAGACACATGCAAGGCTAGCTGGGTCGACGGCAATTAATACGGAGGAAGTATAACGCCAAAAAATAATATACTGCGTACACACACATATCTTCATAAACCCACCCATATCTTTTGGAGACAAAACCTACGATGCGTATTGTATGCAATGTACTTAACCTTAGCCTGGAAGCAGTGTTTAAAAAAAAGCAGTCACCCGATCGACCCTCACTGCATATACCCAAAACGAGCGAATGACTTAGAAAGAAAAGAGAGCAAAGGAAAGGGAAAAGAAGGAAAGAAAAGAGAGAAAGTAAAGTCGGGAGTAGGAGAGAAAAGATATATAGCGAGGGAGAGAAAGAAAGGAAAAGTGCGAGAGAAAAGAGAGAAGAAAGGGAAGGATGCTCAATCGTCGCCGGAAACCGCCGGACTGGGTCCCACACCGGAGGTAGAACGCCGTCGCTGCTGTAAGAGTAACTAGCGCCAGAGGAGGAAAAATGCCGGGGTGATTGCTAGGCTATGTCTCCGAGTCTCCGTCTGGTCCTTAGATTATCAACCGGTCATCCCTTCCATCGTGAAGGAGGTAAACTCCACCATCTATCTCCGGCATAAATATGAAGAAGAAGATCGAAACCTCATTTACGTTGTTTTTTAAAGTCTGGTTCTAGTTTGATTGTGCTGGAGCTTTGTTATGATAAGAGAATAAACTTAGGCTCTAGTTTGGGATTGGCCGTAGGTAATGTTTATAGCACTGAAATGAAAATAAATAGTAATAATAGAAATAGTTACAATGACATTAATAATAATAATGATGCGGATAATAATGAAATCAATTGAGTAGGAGAAATTGGAGCAAATGAAAAATATATAATAAAATACTAATTTTGAAATTTTAATAGTTAAAAGGTGATTGCGGTGAAGACCGAAATAACAAGTTGAATAAGAGTGTCAAGATTCGAGGTAAGTTTCTCTGCCGATCCAAAATGATTTCCTCGTACTATATGTTATTATGTGATTAAGTGTGAATTTTGAATTATGTGTATGTGATTTTGAGGAGATATTAGATCTATGGAATTTGCGAAGTGCAAACTAAGTACTTTTGGGTATTAAATATTTTTAAATGCCTTTGAGACTATTTAGAGAGATTGAGAGATATTTTTGGAAGTATATCTAAAGTCAAGATAAAATTTACGTTTTCATAAGAAGTGAGCACCCGGGAGAAATCCGTGGTGTCGGTTTTCCACATCCGGATAAATGTGGAGGGTGATTAAGGCTGCTACTACTAAGAAGTACAGTTTGAGTTTGAAGTGACATTTGGGTCTATGATCCCTTTTAAGAAGAAGTTATAGTAGTAGTAGTCCGTAATCATTCAAGAATTTTAAAGGTGGGGTGGTTGGTAGACTGAGTCCCGATTACTCGTGACGACTTACTACTCGGAGGGCTTGGAATCCCTTTTAGGGGGTGTGCACACTTAAGGTAGTCGTTTCGTTTCCATTAGCAGTTGTGGTACCGGCAAAAGTCCCGGGGTGGCCGTACATAACAACGTAACCACCGGGCTCAACCAGAATGTTGAGCACCGCCCTTCTAAATTACTAGGAAGATAGAGAAGAAGTGAATTTTGAGAAGTTCTAAGAGAAGAGTTACTATAGTATTTTCGAAGAAAAGTTGAGGACTTTAGTAAAGAAGTGATTTTGAGAAAAATCAAAGAGAAAAGAATTAAGGTGGAGTGTGTCATTTTTATATAGTATTATATGAAAAACTATTTTTAGCCAAACCTGATTATTTTACGGGGTTGGGTAGTACTTACTTAGCTCTAAAGCTAATTTTTGTTTCCTTTTCTTTGTTTTGTTTTCTGCACTTTATTTGTGCAGGTGATGATGAATATGTTGATTGATGATTTGCATGGTCTTGAGAGCGGTTGAGATATACCTTAGTCAAACCTAGTCAAGAATTATTATTCAATTATGTTAAACACTTGTTTTACTTTGTTTAATTTTGTGATTGCCTGTGCATTCGGTTAAGAGATGACCGGATGTGGCGGTAACACCCATTTCCCAATTAATGTTATTTCCGCTGCAAAACGATTTATTTGTTTTGAAAGGATAAATCAAGTTTATTATGAATAAATATATTATTTCAAGTAATATTTTGGGAGGGAAAATGGGGGTGTTACACCTACGTTTCTATGGAGTTGCGTAACAGTCCAGTGGCGTTACTATACAAGCCTATTTGTGAAAAGAAAAAGTTTGGAAAGTATATTTTTGAAAAGAAAATTGAAGAGTTACAAATTAAAACTGATATTATTTTGGTTCTTTTGTCTACACGTGAAAAATTCCCTACTATAATTAGGTGATTTTCTTAGTATGAAATTACGTTTCTCAAGCATGACTCGGTCTGGCCCGGTCCGGAACTGAGTGTGCCACTGTCTGGGACAAGGCTGGGTCCGAAAAATCCGTTTCGTACCTGGAATAGCCCATAGTATGTCCAACATGTTATCTATCCTGGTCGCGGAGGCCATTTTTTTGAGCTTGGAAATAGGGGTCTTTGGCTTCTCCTACCAGCGACCGCGACCAGCCGGTTTGGGACCGGATTAGGACAGGTCCACCATATGCGTGACATTAAACCAGCTCTTGAGATACCTGTGCAGCTCATTATAGATAAATACGATAGTACAACCTTCGTCCCTTAAAATTTTGCCAAGTTTGACCTGCACGGAGAATAATAATAAAGTAAAAACTGTGTGATTGAGGTTTGTGCAGAGAGAGAAATAGCAGGGCAGGAACCACAAAATATTGATTAAAAAGGAAAGTGACAAAGTTTTTTGGGATGTCCCAAAAAGGAAAGATGACAAAGTTTTAAGGGACGGAAGAAGTATCTTATTTCCGAAAATTCATGCAGACTTAATGATTACCTATCTTATCATTATCTTAATCCTCCATTTACACGGAATTTCAAACCATTCTCTCTCTATTCATTCCAAAAAAAAAGTCTTATCCCTTGTCTCTCTTCATTTCTCACCTCTAATTATCAATCAATGAGTTTTTTACAAGAATATTACCAAAATAAAACATATTTACCTAAATATGACTATTCATTACTACAATGTGGTGTTGTGGTAACTTAAGTTCAAAACTTGAACATGAATTACTATGATTTCATTACTACTTTAGTCACTAGTCATATTTTTGTAAATCATCTTTATTTTGGTGATATTTGTGTAATTATTTCAACTTAACTTCAATCACCATTAATCACTTTCATTTTCAAGATTAAGAAGACAATTATCAAGAAAGTTTTAAGGGTTGTCATCCATCAACAGTTTGGTCTTCCTTATATCCTAAATATTTTTATATTTTAATTTGATGATGAATTCATATCTTTCTTACCTTTCAAACCTGTCTAGATAAATAAAGGGATTACGACAAAATAAATATTGACTTTCCCGAAATATGACTAGCTTTGTTTTTAGACATTCATATGACTGAAAATAAAAAAGAAAAAGTAAATCTCGTCATATTAAAATGTTGAAGAACGAAAATGCTCTTTTTAAAAAAGGTGCATTTTGCACTAGTTTCGTCCAATTAAAAATACTGCAATTTATTCGGACATTACTGCACGACATTTATTGCACTTCATGCCGACGTTACTGCACGACATTGCGAAAATGCTATGAATTTATCGATCTTTTTTTATTTTTGGATTTGATTACTTTAGTTTTTATGTTTAATTAAATATATGCACTTTATGATGGAGCTATGACATGAAATTACAAAAATGTTAGGAATTTTTTTATCTTTTCATTTTCTTTATAGATTTGATAACCACATTTTATGTCAATGTTAATTTTCTACATTACTGCATTTCGTGTCATAATCACTATATTCTTGTCATATCATTGCACTTCTTGTCATAATCACTGTACTTCTTATCACATTCACTGCATTAAATACAAATTACTCACAACGTTTACTAAACACTATCTTATAATTCACTCGTACTGTCTTCAACCTAGGGTTCATCTTCAACCCCGGGTTTCCCATCAACCTCAATAGCCTTGGCTGAAGAATATAAGTTGTTGGAGCGGTTGTCCTACGCCATTCTTTAGGCACATTGCAAACCCTAATTTCGAGAGATACATAAAGAAGAAAAAGGATCGGAGAAGGAAAAAAGAAGAGGAGGAGACTAGAGTGCGGCTGGATGGCGGGCGGGCGATGCTGCTGCAGGGTTGCGAGCAGTGGTGCTGTGTGACAGTGAGCGGTGGTGCCGCATGAAGGTGGGCGGTGTTGCTGCGAGGCGGCAAGCAGTATAGTGGTGCTACGGGACGACGGAAGGCGACATGAGACTAGAGGCGAGTTGCTACGCCTAGGGTTTGGGAAAAGTAATTGGAAGTTAGAGTTTTATAATAATAATTTAAGAGCATATTACTTCATAATTTATTTATTATTTATTATCTGTCTATCTATCCATCCATCCATCCATCCATCCATCCATCCATCCATCCATCCATCCATCCATCCATCCATCCATCCATCCATCCATCCATCCATCCATCCATCTATCTATCTATCTATTAGTACATTAATTAAATAGCACAAATTTAAATATTATTTTAGGAAAAAATAATATTTAAATATGAGACCCTTCTAAGCCTCCAGTGTGTGAGTCCGCCGAGGGGGTCCAAGTTTATGGACTAGTGTTGTTTTGAGATGTTGTCAACAATAGACCTCGTGAGTAGTCCCCGAATCGATGAGTGTTTCCCGAAGGATGCCAATACGTGGACTTAGAAATTTTTTCATCGTTGAATGAGCCTGGTGACATTCTGCCTTCGGCATGAGGCCTCCGGTTTGTCTAGATATAGGTTTAGCTTGCCTTAGGACTTTGTGTAGCCTTCGGCATGGCACATAGTTGACTTTGATCCAGCCGAATTTCGGCCTTAGCCAAATTTAAGTGAAGTTTTGCTTAGTGAGCCCTCCTCTTGGGCCTCCGGTGGAATTCTTGTACTCCAAGGCTTCGTGCAGTGAAGCCCTCGGCTATGTGGCCAGATGGCTCGTTGTTGAGAGATTTTCCTGTACCTTTGTAGGAGCCTTCGAGAATATATATCCAAAGTGTTGAGCCTCCGAGAAGAATAGCATCCAAGGAGTTCCTTCCCCCCCACACATTTTTTTTGAATGATGTAGGAGAGGCATCTAGAAACTTGGTTTCTAGGAAAGGCTTGGCCTACATGGGAGGCAACGGAAAAAACCGTTGGCTCCCCCTTCGGGAATGACCTTCCGATATCCCGAAGGGTTTGAGGGTCGTTTCCTCGGCCCGAGACGTCGTCTGTTGCCTGCTTCCCCTTGGGAGATAGAGCGGAAAGCGCCTCGGTTTTGAAAGTCGTCCCCTCAGCCCGAGACATGGTCTGTTGCCTGCTTCCCCTTGGGGGATAGCGCGGGGAGCGTTTCGTTTGCGGAAGTCGAATCCTGGGCCCGGGACATGGTCCGTTGCCTGCCTCCCCTTGGGGGATGGCGCGGAAAGCGTTCCTGGGAAGAGTTTTATTTGTGTGTGGAACACAAATAGCCGGCGGCACTTGGTACCAGCCGGGGCCGAGGGGTGTTGCACCCCCCGTTTTTTTTTGGAGAGAATGTAAAAGTGCGCATAATGTATGCATGATTGCGTCCTCGTGGGGCACGGCTTAGTGAGAAAACACTTGGTGTTTTCAAAGAGTGATGGGGGTGACCCCTACACTTGGTACTTGGTACCTGAATTGGCGTTCCTCCTTATGAGGGGAGGAGGCCTTGGGCAGTTGGGCCTATTTTGGTGGAGGGATGAGGGCTTGGCCACTCATTTTCAGGAGAGATAGGGGCCTTGGGCCGTTTGTGTGACATATAGGTGATGAAGGCTTGGCCTTTTGATTATTCTTTCAAAACGGAAGGGGCCTTGGGCCATTGATCATTACACTTGTTGAGGATGAGGGCTTGGCCACTCATGTTTTACTGATAGAATTTGACGAGGTGGTGCACATTCCAATATCTAGGGACCTCCGTCCCGTTAGGGCGTTTTAACTTGTATGTTCCTGGCTTGATGATGGCTGAGACAACGTATGGGCCTTCAAACTTAGGCGCCATCTTGCCACCTTCGGTGGGTAGGCTGGCCTCCCTTCGTCGGAGGACGTAGTCACCCACCTGAAATTCCCGGGAGCGGACCTTGGCGTCGATGTAGCCTTTGACTTGTCTCCTATAGTTTTCAGCTCTGAGGAAGGCTTGCTCTCGGCGTTCCGAGATGAGGTGGAGATCGAGGGCCATGTTGGCCTCGTTGACCTCGGGTTCATATTGCTCCACCCTTCGGGTAGGAAGGGTAACTTCTGTTGGAGCTTTAGCCTCGAAGCCATAGCATAGAGAGAAGGGTGTTTCGCCTGTCGCACGCCGAGGGGTGGTGCAGTAGGCCCACAAGATGTTGTGGAGTTCTTCTACCCAGCCCCCCCCCCCCTTCGGCTTCCAACTTCTTCTTCAGCCCTTCAAGTAGGGTTCGGTTGGCGTTCTCTACCTGCCCGTTGCCTTGGGGGTAGGCAACGGATGAAAAGGTGTGTTTGATGCCCCATGCCTCCAGGAGGGCACAAAAGGGGGCTGCCTCGAATTGAGTTCCGTTGTCGGAGATGATTTGTTGGGGGACGCCAAACCTTGTGAGGATATTTTTGAGAACAAAGTGGCGGCACCGGGCCTCAGTGATGCTGGCGAGGGGTTCGGCCTCCACCCATTTGGTGAAGTAGTCAATGGCAACGATGATGTACCTGTTGTTGGAGGTACCCCTCGGCAGAGGGCCTACTAGGTCAATCCCCCATCTAGAAAAGGGTATAGCGGTGCTGATGGGGGCATAGTTGACCGCTGGTCTGCCGGGGGCCTTCTGAAAGTGTTGGCAAGCGGTGCACCTTCGGGCTAGATCAGCACAATCCCTAGCCATCGTGGGCCAGAAGTAGCCTTGAACTATGAGCCTTCGGGACATGGAGAAGGGTCCCTGGTGAGCCGAGCAAGTGCCACTGTGCACTTCCTCCATGGCGACCTCGGCTTCATCTTGATGAAGGCACCGAAGGAGGGTGCCGTTGTAAGATCTTTTGTAAAGCCTCCCATTCTCGAGGGTGTAGCTGGGAGCCCTCAGCTTTGCTAACTTGGCGCGGGCTTCGTCTTGGGGC